TTTAATAAAAAAGGTCACAATAAATCCAGTCCCCAATGATCTTCCAGAGTTTTACCTTTACTGCAGGAGAGGTAGGGACTAGGTTCCCTTCCTTTGACCCTGGCCAGTCCTTTATGATGGCTCCTAAGCACTGTTTGCTTAGTTCCCTATATTCTATTCATAGGGGCCATCATAAAGGAGCTCTGGTAGCGTAGTGGTTAAGAATCGGCCTGTGAACCACAAGGTCGGCATTTTGAAACTATCAGCTATTTCACGGGAGAAAGATGAGGCTTTCTGCTCCTGTAAAGATTTACAGCCTCAGAAACCCTGTACAGGGTCGCTATAAGTTGGAACCAACTCCGCAGCACATAACCACCACCAAGCACTGTTTGAGCCCTGGTGTGGCACTTGTAAGATAGGCCCTGGGTTGGTAACTGAAAGATTGGCAATTCAGACCCACTCGTCGCTTTGGAAAGCTCTCTACAGGTTCACTATGAGTTGGAACTGACTCAACATGAAAACAACAGTAACAACAACTGCAGCAGAATACTGCTTAACTTCCCAGGCTAACTTAGAAAAGAACATTGAGCTCTGTATACTGCTTTTCTCTCTCTTTCGGACACTTGCCATTGGAACCCAGTCACTGTGTGGCTAAGGCACATGGAGAGGTCACATATGGTGTTCTGGCTGACAACCCCAGCTAACATCCCAGCATCAGTTGCTTGACATGTAAGTGAATACACCTGTGGGTGATTCCAGCCCCCTTCTAGGCTTGGAATCTTCCCCACTGAGTCACCCAGCATTATGGAATCAAGACAAACTGTCCCCCACCTTGCCCTGGCTGAATGACTGCCCTATAGAATCTATAAGCATAATAAATATGCCATTCTACACCACCGATTTGTTATAAAGTTTGTTATGCAGCATTAGATAACCCAATCAACTTCTGAGAACTCGCTCAAAGAGATCATTCTGCCAAGATGATTAATTGTCTATGTTGTTGTTAAGTGCCATCGAGTCGATTCCAACTCAGTGATCCTGTATAGAGTCTCCAAAAAGCAGCTGGTGAGCTTGAACTGCTGACCTTGCAGTTCAGACTGACTTTGCAGTCCAGCACATTAACCCACAGCACCACACCAGGACTCCACATACCTGTGTGGACATTGTTTACATTTTGCTGTTTATTTGTCTTGCTGTGGCAGCATTTCACCTAGGATCACCTAAATAAGTGTTTCTCTGTTGTGTACTCAGGTCCCATGCCCTACAGGAGCTGATATTAGTCAACATCTGACCAACAGAGAGATTCCCAACAATGGTAAGCAGCGGTACACAGACATAGTCCCTTGCAATCATTTCACTCTCAACGATGAAGAAGATTGCTCTAAGGCCCTGGCTTGGATAAAAAACAACTCCATCACTACAGAAGGTAAGGATGTTGCTAACTGTGCATCTTATCAGAATCACGTTTTATTTTTATAATGAATCTCAGTCTTCATCTAATTCAAATATATAATTAGTGCCTAATTAATTCCAACCAAATCATTCATCTGTCATGCTTTGTTTTCCAGATTAATTTACAACTTGTTGTCATTTTTTGATACCCAGCATGTTTGCTAGGGGAAGAAAAGGGCTTGAGATAGTTTAATTATCTGTAATTATTTTATTACACAAAATGAATATCCAAAGAGCAAAGCATGGCTAAAATCATCAACTAATTAAAGAATAATTTAATAAGCACACATGTTTAGCAATTATATGGAAAATATGTTTCCTTTTGTGAAGCCAAAAAGACCTAGGAAGAAAAAGAAAGGTCTATATCAAAAGTGCTCTCTTCTTTCATAATCTTTCATGATGTGGCCTGCACAGTCCTCCCCACAAACACACACATTTGATTGATTGCTGCTTTTTTAATCAAAATGAGAAAGTCAGACATTTGCACAAATGCCTCTGCCATTTAAAGGTGTTTTCTCAAGCATCTTTCTAGTTTTTGCTTAGATTTTGTTGAAACAGTTTGAATAGTAAAACAACCAGAATGGGACTTGGCCACAGATTTATCTTTAATTGAAACTTGGAAGTCAGATTTTGAAGGTGACTAACCTAATGTTTTACCTAATGCACTAAGAAGGTTGATAACTTGGTCACTTTTTGACAGAGCTGGGATTCTAACCCAGCCTTTTGATTCAGTTCAGAGTTGTAAAAATCAGTAAGTGCCCACACAGTAATGATCAGAAAGTGTAAAGTTAAATTTACTAATTCAACTTAACATATTTAAACATGTCGTTGTTGTTAAGGGCTGTCTAGTCAGTTCTGACTCATAGTGACCCTGTATAGGTTTCCAAGGATTGGTTGGTAGATTTGAACCGCCTACCTTGTGGTTAGTAGTCCAGTGCTTATCCTAGAGTGGTACACCAGAACTTAATAAGTTAACTATTAATGTATTGTTGTTGTTGCTAAGTGCCATTGAGTCAGTTCTAACTCAGAATAACCTTGCATAGGGTTTACAAGGAGCAGCTGGTGGGTTTGAACTGCCATCCTTTCAGTGAGCCGTTCAGTGCATATCCTGTTGCTACAATGCTACACATTAATGCATTGAAATTAAATTATTCAGTGTTTTTATAGAAGACAGATATTAGGTAAATTTTTGTCAAGTTGGTACGTTTACTACATTAAAATGTTACTAAAATATTGTTGTTGTTAAGTGCGGTAGAGCCAGCTGTAGCTCATAGGGATGCGTTATAGGGTCTCCAAGGCTTTAAATCTTTGCAGGAGCAGAAAACCTCATCTTTTTCCCACGAGCAGCTGGCGGGCTTGAGCCTCGGATCTTGTGATTTGCAGCCCAGTGCTTATGTATAGATATCAAATGGCATTACTGCATTGCTTGCTTCAACTTGCTGTTGACTAGTTGCATCTGAGTACATAAATGAGATTGGCCAAAAGTTTTCTTTTTCATACTTTTGTTAGTCTTTTAAACAGCTATGTTAGTAATGAAAAATAAAATTAAATAAATAAAAGGTATGTAAGTCTTGCACTGAGCAAATCTGCGGCACAAGACCTTTTTAAAGTGTTGAAGAGCAAAGATGTCAGCTTGAGGACTAAGGTGCGCCTAGCCCAAGCCATGGTATTTTCAATAACCTTATATGCATGTGAAAGCTGGACAGCGGATAAGGAAGACTGTAGAAGAATTGATGCTTTTGAGTTATGGTGTTGGAGGAGAATATTGAAAGTGCCATGGGTTGCCAAAAGAATAAACAGATCTGTGTTGGAAGAAATGCAGCCAGAGTGCTCCTTGGAGGCCAGGATGGCCAAACTTGGTCTCCCATACTTTGGACATATTGTCAGGAGGGACCAGTCACTGGAGAAGGATATCATGTTTGGTAAGGTGGAGGGTCAGAGAAAAAGAGGAAGACTCCCAGCGAGATGGATTGGGAAAGTGGCAACATCAATGGGCTCAAGCGTGGCAACAATTGTGAGGTTGGCCCAGGACTGGGCAGTGTTTTGTTCTGTTGTACACAGGGCTGCTATGAGTCGGTATCGACTTGATGGCACCTAACAACAACAACAGGTCTTACAGAGAGTTTTCAGAAGCTTTTCATATTTGGTAAGAAATCTAAAATACTTTGTGTAACCTGAATGTTGGACAGGAATCACTCATAAAACTAACTGAATCCAGAACCTTTGTGCAGAAATGGTCTGTATAGATATATACAGGGAACACAGCTTTAAAACATTTCATAAACATGTTCATATTTGCCTCAGAATATGGGACTTTTTTATTTTCAGTTTTGTGCCTATATATGTTGAAACCTGGGTTGGCACTTCAGTATTCTTCAATTACTGTCCCATGTCATACTCAGACTTAGGGAATTGTCTAAGCCTTAATAGGTGTTGCTAAACTTCTTCTATCTGTAAAGAGCCAGATAGTAGATATTTTGGACATTGGGACCATCAGATGTCTGTCATGACTACTCCATTCTGCCACTTCCGGAAGAAAGCAACATATAAGCAGATGGATGCAAGTATCTTCGAGTACAGTTTTAGTTATAAAGACAGGTATAAGCTGTAGCTTGCTTAACTCTTCTTTTAGCCAAAGAACAGTGTCAGATAATTTTATGTTGTCAAGTCCTAATCTTAAAATGTAACTTCAAAAACCCATTGCTGAAATGCAGATAGGTCTCCTGTGATACAATAGTGAATAATTGCTATCAGGACTGATTGTGAGGGTTGGAAATGTAAAGGTAAACGTTTTGTATCAAGGAGGGGAGTGATTGACTTTTCAGTCTAGTTGCAGAGGTCCCTGGGACCATCAAGGGAGAAAAGCGGAGAGCGGGACCCTACCCAGAGAAGCAGTGATGCCTGAGATGGAGGCAGAGACGACAGTGTGGAGAGATGGAGCAGTTGGGGACTTTAGACCCAGAGAGGGAGAGGGGCTGTGTGCTGACGACCGGAGGGCAGGCTTGTAGTGTATACCCTTTGGTTGGTTGATGATGCATGGAGGGGTTTGTAACCACGGTAATGAAATGATATACGATAGGATGAATGTAAAACTAATGTTCTCCCATGTAAACTATCACAATAGTTCACAATAAAACATTTTAAAAAAGCACCCATTGCCTTCAAGTCAATTCCAACTGTGATCTTTATGGAAGGAGTCCGGGTGTGGCACTGTAGGATAAGCACTAGACTGTTAACCACAAGGTCAGTGGTGCAAGCCAACCAGCTGATCCTCAGAAACCCTATACAGAGTTGCTATGAGTCAGAACCTATTTGATGAAACTTTGTTGTTGTTGTTAAGTGCCATCGAGTCGGTTCCGACCCATAGCGACCCTGTACAGGGTTTCCGAGGGTGTAAATCCTTACGGGAGTAGAAAGCCTCATCTTTCTCCCGCGGAGCGGCTGGTAGTTTCGAACCGCTGACCTTAAGGTTCGCAGCCCGATTCGTAACCACTATGCTACCAGAGCTCCTTATTTGATGAAACTTAACAACAACAAAATCTTTATGGATGCAGGCTGTCCATCTTTCTCTTGTGGAGTGACTAGTAGGTTCGAACCACTGACTTTTCTGTTAGCAGTCGAGTACTAAGCTACTGGTACAATACAAAATGCACAGTTGGTCTTAGGAGTGGGTCCAGCTATGTTAGAGAGCAGCATTGTATGACTGTGGTGTTGGCTGTTTTAGACGTTAGAACTGAGGAGCATTTGACCAAAAAAGGGCCTTGGTAGATAGCAATGCAGGTTGTTAAGGTTGACAGTTAATGGCAGCAAGTGTAGAATCCCAGGGCATGAACATGGTGGTCTCTTCCTGGTGCCTTCTCCTTCATTCTCTTGGTTCTCAAACATAGGAACACATCAGTGCTATCTGGCTAAAGTGACTGTCATAGATGTTCATGCTCTGATGCTTATTTAAAGGGAAATACCTTTGCATGGTTTAAGAAAGTCTCCCATAAACCATGGCATGTCAGTCCTTCTGACATGTGTATTTTTTTTCCCCTAACGAGCAACCAGGATAAGAAGGATGTAGGAATTAAGCCTTGTCTTAACTAGAGAATCCACTGTTTAGCGATACTCTCCAGTATATCTCAGAACTTTAGCACCCCCACACTCAGGCCATTGGGACGGATCTGGCTAGGTTAATATCCAAGCCCACCTGACTAGGTTAATTTCCCTCTCTGTAGTGGCCCTTTCCAAATGACTCCTCATGCAAGAAAAGTTAGGGGGAAAATGTTAGCCTCTTTGTAACATTTCTCTATTTAGAGTCATATTCTGACATATACATATTCAGTTAATATGTCCACTCATACCTTATTCTTTCTCATCTTTTTATTCATTCCTCTGATCTACCTCCCATATCCAGCCCCCATAATGCAGAGTCACTGGATCATAATCTAAAAACCCCAGAACAGAGTGGGCTATAGGTACATACCTCACCAAGTTACAGAAAACCCATCTGTACCCCAAAGCCAAGAAACGATAGCTTTACACCTATAGTGGCTTCCATGGAAACTCAGCACAGAACAGACCCCACCAGGGACCTCCCAGACTCCTTGGGCTTTCCTGGCAGCTGCACAGTGTGAAACAGAGAGCAAGATTCACGTAGAAAAGATTCATGTGCAAAATCACTCGGGTTACCTCTATGATCTCTGCTTGTTAACTGAGCCTTTGGATGTGATAGTCAAGTTTTATTACTGTGCTTTCAAGATCCTTTCTAGTAGGAAAATCTAACCACCTTTCCAGAACTGTATTGTGGAAAGAAAATGGTTGATGCAATATTATTTCTGAGACATCTAGGACAACATACCTTGTTGAGCTCCAGGCCACTTTCTTGAGAATTACAGCCCCGACTTACCTTCACGGTCACTTGTGCCCAGCACAGTGCCTGGTATTTAGAAGAAGCTCAATAAATGTATTTGTGAATGTAACTGAAGGCAG